TTTTTCGCGATAAAAACTGGATAACTCACAATGATATCATTAATTCCTCAATCTGTAAAGCTAGTAAAAACACAGGATATCACGAAGAACATTTTTTGATTGGAAAATACAATTAGAACAACTTCAAATCACAACATATTTGAAAAATAACACAATTATAGATCAAGAAATCAGACCACCATGTACAAATAATCCTTGATTTTGCAATCCAACAGCTTGTGCACAAGCAACCAGTGTATGGTTCCCTGAAGATATCCGTACAACTTTTCAAGTAGCAAAAAATTAAGCACAAATTATAAAGTTTTATCAAAAATATTTTGCGGAATCGTTACCCAGTGATCAGGTGCATCCATTAAAAACAAAAACTGTAGTTAGTCTTTATATAACCGTTCCTGGCATCAAAATTAAATTAAAATGTTTTCAAAACAAAATCAGAAACAGAATACGCTAGCAAATATTTACAGCTAAAATTTAAAAAGTATTAATCAGAATTTTCGATATCATGTTAAAAAGTCTCTTTTATGGACACAGGAAAACGGATTGGTCCCGTAACTATAACAAGGAACAGCATTCCACACCCTTCTTACTGTTAGGAGGAAAAATCTACCTGAAAAACGCGATAGCACTAGTCTACAAAAACTATCACTCATGAACCACACATAAATTGGCGGAATTCATTTTGGGCATCAGCAGCTTATGTAGGATATCTCCTTCCAAGTAACCGTTCGATTTTTTTATGTAAGAAGGTAACATCATTTAGTATTACAATTGTACTAAAAACGTATCACACCTATTTATTGTTGTAGATAAAGTTTGCTACTAGCTCATATCTGTTTTCGATAAAAACAAAATTCATTTTGTAGAAACCTTATCAAGTAGAACATTTCCTTTGGGGCACCGACGTTCCGCTGTTGATGAGAAAAAAGCCAGAATGTAGTCCAACTTAATCCCGAAGATGTGTGCCAGTCGGTCATATTTGGAAGTTTGACCTTGAGAAAAACAAGTACGCTTAATTTTGGAGTGAATTTTGATTTTTCAAAAATTCGAATGGAGCCTGTCATGCACGATTTTCTCGCGATAACTGAAAACCGAAAAAGAGAAATCAGAACAATCGAGTAAAAAATGCGAGAAAGTTGCTAGATAAAACAGTGGGAAATTGCTATTCGCAATTTCTGTCACAATAGAACAAGAGTAGAGCTGTCCCATCTGAAACAGAGACAAGCGTATTCCCGAGAACTGGACTATCATTACTCGATTGGATTGTTATTCGAACTGGACTAGAGTGAACCTTCGGTGGAAAGGTGGACAGCTTGAGTGTCCCAATGGTTCACGAGATACTATATTATATATTAGTTACATTATTTAATTCTCGAGTTGCTGACCGACTTAATTACTCCCAGTTCTTGAGCGTGCTACGATGTGAGTACTTAATTTAAATTTCTAGAGTGTGTTTTATGATTGTTATGTTGAGGTAAGGCGAGTTTTAGGTTGATCCATCTGAAATGGATCAAAGTTTCACTGTCTAATAAAAAGTAACTCAACGGATTGTTCCGACCCGGTTTTTAACGGCGTTCATGTATTTTGGGTATCTAGAGACCTAAGTATGGGGACGTTCTTATTTCTAGAGTGGGGGACATTTTGGTAGTAGCCTTTAAGCTGTAACGGGTCGTAGTCTCATGTCACAAGCGAACCGAATTGGCTCCGACTGATTTGAGGTAGAAAAATACAAGAGATAGTGTCCCTGACTCTTGAGCCAATGGTTATAGGGCCTATTTTTCTTAAGCCTCATGTGTGACTACAGTAGACGAATGTTACAATGATTGATATTATCTGTTAACACAATACCCCGTTTCCATGTTTGATCACTGAAAAAATTTGCACTGAAAAACACAAAAACTAATGAATCATAATTTAGCCGTTTCGACAAGTTTCAATTAATTTTTAAATTTTTAACCCTCAAGAAAAAATAAGTCACTTGCACAAATGAAATAACGTTAAGGACAAAATTTAACCACACCTACACTCATTACCGCTTTATCCAAAGACTCATCATGCAACACTCACTATCACAAAATCCACACAATTTCGAAATACACTTCCTCTCATTTTGTAAATTTGTTTCATCTATCTGATGTACTACTTTGCATGGCACTCTCCGCAACTGGCACTCTTTGCTCCATCTACAACTTTCAGCCAACGACAAATTCCGACCAACGATCATGCCACATGAAATAATCAAACCTACAGAAAATTGGATTTTATTGTTAAATTCTTAGAATTTATTCATTGCAAGATCATTAATCATAAGTTTTATAGTTTTGTACGGAACTCTACTCATGAACTTTTTACTTCCACACAGCAAAAAAATATCATAAGACCACTTGAGCTTCTTTGGCCTTTACTAAGAACAAAACACGTAAATTTACTACAAGCTAAATGCTTACAGAGTTAACCTCACTCGCTGAAAGTTTTCCAAATGGTTTTATACAGACACAACACAGTAAGTACTAGTTACTAATTTAGAAATAAATTAATTTCCGAAATTACCTTTTATCAATCATTTGATTGGCGCTAATCCATTGCAGTATATTCTTAGTGTTCAATAAAGTGATTAATGTAGCAATAATTGAATAGTTTTATTGCAGTAAAATAATAATACAAAGCATTAAATCATACAATTGAGATTAAAAATTCAAGTAAGACAAATTTGTTTTTGTGAAGATTTTGTTTTTATCCAATTTGTACCTCTATTCGCGCACGCTTGGAATGAATTCAATTTTCACTAATAAGGATAACATATCTAAACAGCTTTTTCAGCTTTGAATCTTTTCTTCATTCCGGTTGGAATGGCCCGTAAATAACCAACGCAGCTTATCTAACACAACCGCACTACCAACATGTCCGGGACAGTTCCCCTAGTTTGAAACAAGAGCACCTTAAATTAAAAACAAATCACAGTTGAACATTTTCAATTAAGTAGATACAACCATAAAACAAAACCGACAAAACACAAAGTAGAAAGAAAAGAAAAAAGCTCTTTAACAGAACGCTCTACTCGATAAACCACTCTAGGATATCCCTCAGCAACTGGCCTAACTCACAAGTAAGGACGTCCTGAGTATTATCTCTAGCCGGCCTCACCAATTGTGCTAAATCACGCTTAGACACATTTCACACTATTTATGGTAAGAAAGCGTCCTGTGAGAGTAACTCCTAAAAATAACCAAACTGAAATATAAACGCATCTGCGAAAACAATTAACCAAATCAGAACTAAAACGGAAACTTTTAAAGTTCAGAAACAGGTGTGTAAAAAAATTCACAGAATTTATTTTACAATCAACAAAAAGGGGATGATCACTCGACGACACTCCGACTTTGGAAAGGCAAACCTATTGCCCCAGTCTCAGTGTTCTCTGGATAAAAGAAATGGAGTTGACAACGAAGGAAAAAAATCCATGGAAACAGAACAATGATGTCAAAACTCAAAAGCGCGATGTCAAACTCAAAATACGTGTCCTCTTTACTTGGTACTTCCCTCAGAAGGGTCAAGTTTTCATCTCGCAGGGAGTCTTGTTATGAAAAATGAAATTGACTCCCAACAATCAGTTTCCTGTACGTCACTATGATCTCTCTGGATTCACAAAAATCCCTCATCATCAATTGTAACCCGCAGACACACTTACAAACAACCCTACAAGCAGCTCCTTTGAGAACTCAAGAAACTCAGAAATCACTCCCATATAAAAAGCTAAGATTCTTAAAACTTCTCTAAGTTTTTAATGGGTGGAACCAGTTTGAAGCTAGTTATTTTTTGTTATTTTTTAAACACCTTCCAATGCAAATTTTTATTACCAAGCAATTATCACCCATAACTGAAACTTACTTTATATTTGTAAAACTTAAGCCCCAGCGGTTCAGAGAACTTAACATAAAAGATTGGAATCAGTTACCTGTCTTGTCTCCTCTAACTTGCAATAAACCAGTATACTGTTAGATCTATTGAGACTAGAAACTATAAGAGTAAGAATAGGATCTGTATTAGACTAAGGAGTTGCGAAGCTATGTGGGAGAAAGAAGCTAGCGTGACAAACAGGTGATGCACCCTTTCCAAAATTGAGGTGAAGACGTCATCTCTTTGTTAAAATCAAGGGTTGAGTTTTCATTGAACGAGTGGTTAGATACAAAATCGGAAGTTTTTTCTTCGACTGGATTCAAAATGAATGGACGTTTTGGGCGAGATGGTAGGGGATGAATGTGGAAAAATTAGAAAATAGGTAACACGAATAGTACAACGTGAAAGGCTAGGAGAGTGCGGTAGTTTTTATGCACTATGCAATTGCCAGCAAAAACGTATGAGGGTGGAACAATTGATGACAAGGAGTACTAATTGTTGTCTAAGCTGCAGGTTTTTTGAGTTGGTGCTGAAGGCGTGCCATGTTTTACTGTTCTTTGAACTTTAACATCATCTTCATTTTCAATTGCAAATTCTTTTAAGAAGATCAAAAAACAGTAAAGCACGCCTTCAGCAACAACTCAAAAAAACCTACAGCTTAGACAAAAATTAGCGCTCCTTGTCATCAATCGTTCCACCCTTAGACGTTTCTGCTGGCAAATGCATAGTGACTTTTAAAATCTAAAAGTCGAAAGCCATAATCATACTGGCAAACCAACATCATATAGGCAACTCAATTTTCAAGGTCACAATATCCTTAGATCAGAGGTTTATTGTTGTGTTTTGATTTAATTATCATTATTAAAAGAATCAGAGTCTGTTAATGTAAACATGGGGATCTTGCGCATTTGGATATGGGAGAGATAATCAAAACTAGGAGTTCGCGTGAATTACGTTTCGGCAATGACTGTTCGTTTAAATTTGCAGAAAAAATTATAACTCTCGATAAAAACTTGCTAAAAACTGCTACCTCACTCTCTCAATAATCCAAAATCGTCCGCTTCTGAACACAAACAAAAATAATGTTTGAAGAAAAACTACTTTAATTGGCTATCTGGTCAACAACAACAAACAATTTTTGTTATTAATCTAATTATTTCATTTCAAAATGCACACTTATTAATCATTGTGATTAGTTTTGTTGGTGTTATAAGATCAGGAAGCTCAGTAGAAGGGGTATGACGAGGGATCCCGCTTTCCACAAGGACGCAGCCATGTTGCAGAGGGATTCAGCACAACACTCGATCAACACACCTGACAAGAAAAAACGGAAACTGAGATATCTTTCAGCCATTAAAACTCGATTGATTGTTTTAAATTTTTTTTCATCGATAATAAAGATAAAGAGTAAAGATATAAATATATAAGGCTTTAATAGCCTTAAGTTTCGCGCAATTTCCCTAACAGAAAACAGCTTACTTCCACAAAATAACTTCCCCCTCCCCCCGTGTTTGAAAGGTGAGGAGAATGGTAAAAAGACAAGAAATGAAAACAAGTAACAAGTTAGTGGCTAAATTTGGCGTGCGCATTTTTAAAATGCTTAAAAAATATCCTAAAGATTTCACAACGGATTTTTTCAGCTTCCGAAACTTTCACTATTATTTTTTTCAGGTTTCCGAAAAATTTTATCTGAAATTTGGACCTGAGTAAACTCCGTGAAAAGCTGTGAACTCTAAATTTAGTTTTAGTTCTCGAGCTAAGTATTTTTTATAATTTTGACCAAAGACAGCTAAACGCCAGTTGGTAGCGTACCGACAAGTTAGCGGTTTTGGGCGACGACCTCCCCTCAATTCGTGTAGCCGATATTTTCCAAAGGGTTCCGTACTACTTTACGACATCCATATTTAAATCCGACTTTATGTTTCGAATATATGTTTGACTCTTTGTTTCGACTTTGAGTTTGACTTCAGAGCCTTCTTGACTATGGATTTTCGGTCGAACTCTGAGATTTCTCGATCATATAATCGTTCAAAACATAAATCACAAACGCCGACCCGAATAGCCAACTTTTTTGGTCGCCAGTGCAGATTTATTATGAATCAAAAATAAATAAACAATAAAAAGCCATTTTTTTCAGGAATCTAATTTTTTTTCTATGAGTTCGAAGAGACCATAGTGACTGATATATCTCACCTGTTCCGGTTCTTGAGGTGCGGGTGTCTGTTTGTGAACAAGTGGGCAAACATCTCCTGTTTATGGACACTATCTGGCCAGTCTGGTAAGCAGTCACAGTCTGTAAACAAAGATGTTTGAAAACAGATAACTTTGTCTAATTGGGTTCTCCGAGGCTGGATTAAATAGGGTTTTAAATTGTGAAATAAAACGCAAAAGCTATTTTAAATTCTGATTAAATTGTTATTAAATTCTTTTTATTATTTTTCAAATTGTTATCAAAGGCATTTTTTTTTCTGATTAAACGCCTTTTATAACAACTTATGAAGATTTTTACTTTATCAAAAATACAATTATTAAAAGACAAATCAAGTTTAATAAGAGGAGATTCAGTTTTTTATCACAATTTATTTTTATACGTACGTTGGCATCGCACTTATTTTAGCATTTACAAACATGTTTGGGCTACTTAATGCTCTGGCTAGTTTCGACTGCCTCCACCTTTCAAATTTTCTTTTTTTTCTTTTTTATGTGATCTTAAAGCTAAATGCGCAATGTTACGATGTAAGGTAAAAACAATTTGTTCACAAAAATTTGCTCACCGAGCCAAGTTTCCTTGCGTTATGGCCATGTTAAAAAAAATTTGAAAAATGAAAACTCATATGGCAGGGGGCAGGGGAGGATCTAGGATTTTCTCGAGGGGGGCGGATTTACAAAAAATTTACGAAAATTTTGACGACTTTTTTTTTAAGTCGACCAAATTGATTTTCCGAGCTCTCCTCAAACATTAAAAAGGGTCTGCTTTGGTAATATTTTCTGCGCCGCCGGCAAAATTTTAAACAAACAGGTCAAACAAGCCGTTTTTGGGCAATTTTTGGAAAATTTTATCAAAATAGTCGCGTTTTTTGGCGCGCGCTTCCCCTCAAAGTTAATATATATTGTTGCCTTTAAAAGGCGCCTTTAGAAAAATTTTAGGGTCGGTCGGCCAAAAATTGAATTCTTAAAAGTAACAAAGAAGGACCCTCTGGGTCGGCAGGGGATCGAATCACTGGGGAAGGACGTTCGCCCCCCCCCCCCCTAAATCCCTCCCTCGCAGGGGGGACTCGAAAAGAGCAAAGACTTTATTCAACCACTCTTTACCATCTTAAATTGATGTTTTTGAAAGTAGGGGAAGGGTCGAAATTGGTTTACTTATGAGGGAAGTCACTGATGCGTACCTGACATGACCCTGCACATAGTGTCTTGTTGAACATTTCAGGGGTGTCCAGACAGTAGGAGAGAGTGGCATCCGACTCGCTTCCGACACAGGCGAAACAGCTGATGCTGAAGGACAGCTGCTGACACCCTGAAATGGAACTAACATTTAAGAAGAAACAAAAGGTTCAAATAGTCAGAACTAATAAAAACAAGACTGCTCGTATCATATAGCTATGCCCTGAATGTTTTGAATGTCTGTAAAGATCTATAGAGCAGTGTTCATTTCAAAAAAAAATTAAGAATTTTAAAAAATGAAGCCTGCTTCAACAAATTTGGAACAATTTCCAAGCCGTATTAAATCTTCGCTAACTCTTCAATAGCTCGGAATATTTCGCGCGTTAATGGTCCAAATTGGCTTAATAAGCACTATTTAAACCTCATGTACTACAAAAAACAATCACAAGTAAAAAAAAAAGAAAGTTTGAGCTCAAGACAATAATATTTTTCGGATGAAAAAAAAACAATCCGAGCACTATTATTCCACTTTTTTGAAAGTCGGAACAAAAAAAAGAGCAATCTGCCGTCACAAGTTTGCGTGCAGATAATTAATTAAAAAACAATTTGCTGTTAACATCCTTTTCGGTCTACAAATCTGAGAACATAATAAAGTGACATAAAGTTATGCTCATTTTGACGTCAGATTTCATCATTCCTAATTTCTACACGTATAAACGGTTCCCAAAAACTCTAAATAATATAAATGCTGTAAATTTTGACAATTTAAATTGCTGAAAATTACCGGTACAGTGCTGATTTAAATTAACCGGACAAAACGCGTTAAGCTTGAAATTTAAAACCCGCTTTTCTCAAATTGGGTTGAGTTTAGGTGAAAACTTATAAGACAACACTTGCTTAAAATTTTAGCAGAATTAATATGGTGTTATTTGTGTTGCAAAATTCGGGCCAAAAATTTTACCCCAAAATGAGTCATTTTGGCTTTTCTCAGTTAACCAAAAACTACGCCGAAAATACCCAGTCGATCACAGGCATAAATATGTCATAGTGAGCCCCTTACGTAGCCCAACAAACTTTATGCAGGATATTTTCTCCAAAATGTTGTATAAGTTAATTTATTTTTGTTTGATAAACAAAAAATGTCGTTTTTACTATATAAAATATCAACTTTTTATTTTGAAACAATTTTGGAACATTTTGCATTTTTTTTGGAGAAAACACCCTTCATAAAGTTTGTTGGGCTACTTAAGGGGCTCACTATGATATAATTATGTCTGTGATCAACTGGGTGTTTTCAGCGTAATTTTTGATTAACTAAGAAAAGCCAAAATGACCCATTTTTGGAGTAAAAATTTGGGCCCGAATTTTTCAACACAAATTACACCATATTAATTCTTTAAAATTTACAGCAAGTTTTTGTCTTCATAAGTTTTCGCCTAAACTCAAACCAATTTGAGAAAAACGGGTTTTAATATTCAAGTTTTACGCGTTTTGTCCGGTTAATTTGAATCAGCACTGTATTGCCGAAAATTTGATATAAGAACAAGTAAAAAAACTGTAACAAACCAAAAATTGAAAAGAGCAATCGATTGATTTCGGTGGTATTTTGCATGCAATCCTTAAATCTAAAAAACCCTGAAAAAACCGCGTCAAACAAACGGTGAAAAGCAAGGTCGTCGTTTAGCATGCAACTATGCAAACCTAATTTTCAAATATTTCGACAAAAGCCCTTATGTTACCTTGAACGACTTAACGATTTAGCGAAAACAGTAAAAAAAGAAACTACAGTTAACCATGTCTTGCAACGACGACTATCAGTTGCTAGCTATTCTTGAAAAAACCATTTGGTCGACTCGAAAAAATTGACACTATTGAAGACAACCAAGTTGTTCAATTTTGAATGTTAGTCGGTCGACAAAACACTTTCGAAGCTCTAAGCTAGAATTTTCCGGTCTCCAATTTACAATCGGGCTGCTTAATGAAAAATCAGGCTTTGGTTCTTGGATAGCTTGCAACGATCTTGCAACGGTTTTAGACAGCAGTCCAACAAAAATAAAAAGGAATTTCCTATGAAAACCGCTATTTAATTTTTGACTGAATCCGTGTTTTTTTGAACAAAATGCTTGTAATTTAGGAAAAACTAAAAAATGCTGAAATTGTTGTAATTTAGGAAATACAAAAATAATGCTTTCACTTTTCAGCGGCGGTCAAGTGAAAATTTTGAAACTCAATTCTCAGCCAATACACAAACTCAGAGGGATGGAAATGTCACGGTCTTGAGTTTTTTCTTTGTTTTGGTTGCATCGGAACTTTCCGTTCTACAAAAAACGGCTACTATTATACGGAATAACCTTAACCAAAAATTTGGCTCCCCGATGTGGACATGCTAAAGCCTCTAAAAGGACGTACGTTTTTCAACAAAATGTTGCCTCGCTCCTATCTGCTGTTCGAAAACTATTCACAAGAAAAAAAGTATTCCTCTTCTCGAAAGGCCCCGTCATAGGCCGGACATCATTCCGATCGAAAATGTTTAGCAAAGGATAAAAAAATTTAGCGTTGGATTCAACGAAAAAACTCGAAGAAGCCGCCCAATAAATTATGGACATTTAATTAAATTTGCTCGAACATTGGTCAGCTTCGAAATGTGATTGCAAGGCGTGAATACAGATTTTAAGCAAAAACTTCTGCCTTGGGAGCTTTCGATTTTATGCTTGTTTCATTTTTAATATGCTCAAGTCTAGACAGCTCTCTTTTTCATTGATTCTGTCTTCTATGAGTTTTCGCAACTTCATTTTATTGTTTCGTCAATTTTTCGTCTGATTAACTAAATATTACGTGCAAAAACTTTCTGAAATAGGTACTTTGCTCTTTTTTTATTTTAAATAGGTTATATCAATGGATTGGAGTGAATCCAGTATTGGAGGTATGCTTAAAAAGATAGATTTTTCTAAAAGAAGGTTAAACTGTTATTGAAATCAAAAACTTGGCTGCTTTGAAAATTTAACAAATAAACTAAAAAATTTCACAAAAAAAAGTTAAAAAAAAATTTCTAAGATTATTTTAGAGACTTCCTTAAAGGCAAGGTTTTAAGAAAGTTTTGAAACCACGACTAACCTGTGTGCTGGATATAACAAACGAACAAAAATACAGCTATTTTAAGCACGTCCATTTTTCCAATCTGAGAATCGAGTTTATACAGAATATGATAAAAATTATAAAGACAACTTATGTTATGATAGTTTTTGTTTCTGACGTCAATTTGTTTATGTAGAATTTTCGAATATCAAATTATAGAACTACATCGAGAGTTGTCTGGCTTATAAAGAAAATCGTAAATGAAAAAACGTAACAATGCGAAGGACCACATTTTTTAATTTACGTGACGTATGTAAAAATCGGTTGTTTATAGTCTAATTTATATAATCTCATCAAAAAACAAATGCCAAATGTTAAATGAAAATTACCGGTGAAATGTAGCTGAAATAAAATGAAAAGTAACTGAAAAACATTGATAAAACTCAATAAAATTCTAAAAACAAAAAAATCAACCCTCCTTTGTACCGGTTTGACGAGTGAACTTGTCTCAACTTTCGAATAAAAGTAACAACATGTTTAAGTTCGGTGTGTGGATTTGGTTTTTAGCAGACCAACCTCTTAGCATAAAAAGTGAGCCTCTTAGCAGGTGAACAAATCAACTAAGACATATTTGGTTGACAGAAGTAAAAGAGGTCTAAGCTGGTGTCCAGCTTCCTTAAGTAACCCAGGTTGACTAAACCTCTAATCACCCGGGTTGACCTCTATAGACTAAAAATGCTAATTTTGCAATTCCATAAACTAAGTCTATGGAAAAGTACTAATCATACGAATTTCATACAGTTTGCTAAAATAATGTCATTGAATTTCCAAAGAACTTTTTTCTTGTTCGGCATAAAATTCGGTGTATCGTACTAAATAAAAAAGAAAAACATTTTGTCTAAAAAATGCTTATCTTACAATTTTCATATATGGAAATTGTATGACTAGCTATTTTTTTAATGCTTTGGCGACAACAATTTTTTTTCCAAGTAAGATTGAATTTGCCCAAAAAATTGTTTGGTTGTTTTTCTTTTTACTGCAAATCGAATTTTGTACTCAAACAAGCATTTTACAAAAAAAAAAATTTTTGCATGCAAAATTTTTTTTTTTTTGAGCATAACAAAGTCTTGGAAACACAAAAATTGGATTTTCCCTCGTTTATCTGGATAACTTTTTTCAAAATACTAAAGTTTCCTGTTTTTTTTTTGTTTGGCATGTTTATATATGCCTTGATCATTGTGTGATAAATAAACAAATTCAATTCAAAAAATCTAAAAAATTGGTGCTTTTGGAATATGAATTGTGTAAGAGAAGTTGTCTCATAGAGTTCAGGTCATTTCCAATGCATTGTAAATGCAAGACGATCAAACCTTTGGTGACTCTAGTTTTGAACAAACCATGGTTTTTGTCACTTGTGTTCGGTCACGAACTCATGCCCAAAATTTTGAGAAATTAAATTTATTAGAAAAAAAATTGTTTTTTTTTAATCTATGAGAAATGCTGCTAGCCATATTTTCAATATATGCATTTTCACTAATCATAAAACTTTTATGCAATTTCTTGTACATACGGAATTGCTTGAAAAGTGTGTGAATAGCATTTTTCATATATGAAAATTGTATGACTAGCAATTGTGGTCAACCCGGGCATACAATTTTTAGATATGCAAAACTACTTACTCTTTATTTGAAAAACTCGACTTGAAACACTTAGTAGTCTAAAATAAATGCCTGTTCTCTTTCAAATTTATAATAAACCTAATTTAATGCTCAAAAATAGTAGGGCTTAGTTGTTGTACAGAAACAAACACTCAAATGGGTTTTTTGGATAACTTGTGTGAAAAAAACGAAGATGATTACGTTATATACAAAAAAATTTCAAGTACAAAATTTTTCCGTTGGAATTTGCTTTCTCAAAAGTTGAGTTCTCTAAAGAGTAGAAAAATGCTGATCATATTGTTTTCATTATCAAAAAAAACGTAGCTAAGTTTTTTCCTTCAAAAGTTGAAAGTTTTTCTTGATAATCAGAAATTCTCAAAACGATCATAGATACGAAAAGTTGTTTTCAATGTGTTAAAAACAATTTTTAATGCTTGTCAGATTAATATATGGCAAACATTTTTTTAATCACTCATTGTTTCAAACTGTAGGGCAAGCAAAAGTTATTTTGTTTCTTGAAGAAAAAAAATATATGGTTAATAACGTTTGCGCGAGTTACAGAAAATCTATCACACTCATTGTTCCAAACTGTAAAATAAGCAAAAATTATTTTGTTTCTTCAAGAAAAAAGTATATAATAGTTAATAACGTTTGCGCGAATTACAGAGAATCTATCACACTCATTGTTTCAAACTGTAAGAAAAGCTTAAGTTATTTTGTTTTTTTAAGAAAAAAAAGTATAATAGTTAATAACGTTTCGCGAATTACAAAGAATCTATCACACTCATTGATTCAAACTGTAAAATAAGCAAAAATTTTTTTGTTTTTTCAGGAAAAAATTATAAAATACAATTTTTTTTGCGCGAATTACAGAAAATCTATCACAGGTCACCGAAAGCAAACTTTAAGATGCAGCATACCCTCATTCAAGCGCAGAGTACAACTCAGTCTGAAAACAAGCGCAGTAGAGTTACGCAGAGCTAGTGCTCGCTAGTTGCCTAGGATGTGCTTGGAGACAACGTTGCTTCACAAACTTAAACCCTTGGGATGTAGTTTTTTTCTACCGAAAACTTCATACCCTAAATATGAAATCAACTCCTTAAAATCAATCAGTAAAACATATTTCTTTTCTGATAACTTTTGGTAAAATTCACGGGGTTTGAGAATTGAAGAATTGCCAAATTTTGAAAAAGCTTGGTTTACTTACTTGCTTTGATCAAACGTTAGCGCAAGCATACTAGCCGCTACAAACTACACTATCATCAAAGTGATTTTCAAAACGAGATTACTGCTAAGCAAAATGATCTCTTAGTATTTTATATTATTCTCATTTCTTTGTACTTGATGTTTGCGGGTACAAAATCTTTAACTTTTAATCCGTTTTTGTTCTCAAATGAAGGTCAGTCTACATTTTTAGTATGCGAGCAGTCTTGCTTTTGTTCCTACATATGTCCGGGTTGAGATGTTTGGTTTATGTGTCAACATTACGGTACGATCAACAAACAGTAACCACTATGTCGACTTGGGTCAATGCATGAGCCAACAAGCTTTTATTCTGGATATATCAGTCGATTAGGGATCGTAGTAAATGAGTCTTTGTACTTGATGTTAGTGGGTACAAAATCTGTAACTTTCAATGCGTTTTTGTTCTCAAATGACGGTCAGTCAGATTTTTTAGTATGCGAGCAGTCTTGCTTTTGTTCCTACATATGTCTGGGTTGAGATGTTTGGTTTATGTGTCATCGTAATGGTACGATCAAAAAACAGTCAACCCTATGTCGACTTGGGTTCAAGCATGAGCCAACAAGCTTTTTATTCTGGATATATCAGTCGATTAGGGATAGTAGTAAATAAGTCGATCAATTGATATATTATCAACTAATTTTAAAAAAATGTATGCCCTGACACCAAATTTGCTCACTTTAATGAAATATCAGAAGTTTAGATTTCTATTCAATTTTTTGTTCATCCCACGAGGCTAAAAATCCTCGCAAGCGACGATTGATTGCAAACGACAAATCGCAGTGTTGTTAAAGGCGACATTTCGCACCAAGCGTTAAATCGTAGCAAACGACAATTAGTAGTACAACTAATTGCTAATTGGGGGGATTACCAAATGATGCGAATTACAATCTAAAATCTAGCGGGCAATCAAAATCTTTAATTTAGCACCAAGTTTGAAATAAATACTAAATAGAACTGATTTAACAAAAAATATAAGACTAATTGAACGCTGGGAACATCTACAAATACCTTTGTTTCGATTCATTCGTTTTAATGTCATCTTGTAAATGATTACACTTACTGACAACAATATGCCTTTAAGTTTGGTAATGAGTGAACAAGCCTAACAGCAAACTTTCAATCTAAACCGCCAAAACAAAATAACTGATAAATCCAACGAGCGAACAAATAATAATAATTGTCAGAGAACGCATTAGTGAGAATAACTGCCGCCAAGGTGGAAAAATACGAAATAAACCATGCCAGATTATTTGAATTTCTTAAACTTTATAGCAACAATAATATTCTCAAGCAACTTGTGGAACTTTTGTTCAATTTTGATTTTGTTTGCTTGATTTTCAATTAGCCCATTTTTACTTATGGTGAACATCAAACTTTTGCCTTCGATTTTGGTAATCAAAATGAAATAAAAAAGCTAGGTATCAGGAACAAGAACATCATAAGGAAATTAGAAGTACAGAACTTTTATAAACAAGATGATTAGAAAAATAAACAGGCATTTATGAAAACAATTTCCAATTGCCAATGTCTTTTGAAAAAGAAATAACTTATAAGTTACTATGATGCAAGATCGACGGAATTCAAAACAAAGTTGTCTCAAGTCGTATATACGGTAGACATCGGTAGACATCGCTCTGCTCTCAACGCTACAAATTTTGTTAATCCTATAGAAAGACATCATCCACAACCACCATTTCTAGACAATCGGTCGGAGAACGTAACAGAAATTCAGAAAACAGCACGCCTCAATAGAAACATCCCAGAGCAAAAGAGACATGACGAGGAGGAAGAGCTTTGATAAAGTAAACGATTCAACGGCATGAGAATTGAAGAAACTGATAAGATACTTCGATCAATCTTGTAATGAATCTAGTAATGAAGGCAAAAGAATTTTCGGCCAAAAATTAACAAGAGTGAAATTCTCCAGATCTCCTTCAAAGAGTTTTGTTATTTTTTGTGAGGACATAAACTGCTAAATAGAAAACAAGGAGAAATAGAATCGTAGGAACAATTTTGAGCTCTGGCCGAAATGGCACGAGCCGATGAATGGATAAGAGATATTTTTATCAACAATATGAAGAGCTCGGATATCCAGCAAAAACTTCTCACCGAAAAACTCC